GTTCTGAGGAAGCTGATCTGAAAGAGATTAAATGATTTGCTAAAGCTGAACAGAGTCTTAAACTGAGCTGAGACAGGTATTTAGATGCTGTAACTTGGAGTTCAGGAGCCCTGGTGGCACAACGGTTATGCCCTCAGCTCCTAACCTAAAGGTCAGCAGTTCGAACCCACTAGTGAGCGGCTCTGCGGAAGAAAAGATCTGGCAATCTGCTCCCTTAAAGATTACAGCCTAGGAAACTTGATAAGGCAGTTCTACCCTGTTCTACAGCATCACTATGAGTCAGTCCACTTGCGGGCACGTAACAACAACTTGAAGTTAAATGTTCTCATTGTATGCCGTATTGAAAGTCAGATTTAATTTTCATAACAATAGTGAAATTAGTGTCTAGGTATTATTACCCCCAGTTCCCAGATTAAAAAAAAAAAAAAGTGGCAATAGCAACTGCACTGGCTGCTTGAAAGTTAGGCTGAAAACTAGACTTTAGTTGAAATCCTGTTCTCTGAGACCCTGGCTGAGTAACACAATCTCTCAGCTACAGTCCCCTCATCAGGAAAATACAGTGCTAATACTTCCCTGGAAGAGTTATCAAAGGAGTAAAGATTATATAACCCAGTTGGCACAGAGTAGGTGCTTAATAACTTGTAGCTGTTTTTTTTTTAAAAGTGTTCTGTCATAGGAGGCGGTGTAGAGAAATGGAAACAGCAGGCTTTGGAGTGGCCCAGAGTTGGATTAAATCCTGGCTCCAGCATTCACCTACGACAGATTCTTCATTTCTCAGGTCTGGTTTCCTCACCTGTGAAATGAAAGTTATAATGCCCACTCCACAGTGTTGTAAGGATTGAAGTTAAAATATGTCAAGTGCCTCTTCAGTTGCGTCTAGCTGGAGATTTGCTGTAGCCTATTAACTTCCATCAAAGGAGAGAAGTGTGAGGATGCTGGTGAAGGATAGGAAACAAAAAAATAATAATGAGTTTGAGTCTGAAAATGTGGTTACAAGTCCTTGCTGTGCTGTATCCCCCTGTGGTTTTTCTCGACTAAGCACCTAACCTGAAACCTTGAATTCTTCACCCGCAAAAATGTTTTGCAGCAGGTAAAAGCTGTGCTTTTTTTCTTCCAGTATTTCCCTTCTTAAAACTAAATCCATTAAGAGTAGTGTAGGTGCCTCTGAGGCAGAAACCTCAGGATAGAGGGAATGTCCCTGAGGCAAAAAAAGATTAAAAGGGGAAGACCTAGAATAATATTCCCAGGTACTCAGTAAGTGTTTGTTGAACAAATGAATCATGAACAGAATATATACTGAGGACTTCGGGTGCTGATTACTATTGTTAGCGTAATATTTAGTTTTGTCATTAGTTGTTAAACGAAATTAATGAGCATAAATTAATCAGCGTTAAAATAAATGTAACAGTTAAAAAAAAATACTTCACACTATGGACCTGTGTTTTTAGATATTTAGGGCCATAATTCTGCTTTGAGTTTTAAATAACTGCCTTCAGTACCATCATAATAATTAATAATGATTTTTTTTATTATTTTCATTTCTCATTTCTTTTACAATCAGATTATAATAAAGATGCTATTATGTACTTGAACTACTGACTTTCTCGTAAAACCAGTCTCATAGGCACCTCTTTCATGGGCTTCTTGAAATCAGTATCTCTTTCATCTTTGGATGCTCAGCTTCCCAGCACAGTGCCTGGCACGTAGCATAAGAGCATTATGTGTGTGCTGAGTGAATACGAATGAATGAACCCTTCCCAGATTCTCAGGCATTTCCTAACTGAGCTCTACTTCCACCACATCCCTAGAGCACATTATTTTTTGGCTTATGATCTGGTTACCTGGGGATTTCGTCCGCATAGCCTACTAAATCAGTGGGCATTAAAATCACCTGGAGAGCTTGTTGAACAAGATTGCTGGACCCCACTCTCAGAGTTTCATATTTAGGAGGTTTAGGGTAGGGCATAGTAATTTGCATTTCTAACAAGTTCATAGATGATGCTTATACAGCTGACTAAGGACCATACTTTACAAACCACTGCACTAAATTCAGCTACTTGAGGGTAGGGATTATGTCTTCCCCATTTCAGTATTACCAACCTCTAGCATAGTACCTAAACCCTAGGAGTTGTTCAGGAAATGGTTGATTTAAATAATAATACAAAAATGTATTTTACTGATGCTAGACTACAACTGTATGAATGCGTGTGTATGTATGTGTATAATTAAATAAGCTAATACATGTAAAAACTCAAAACATGGTACACAGTAAGCTATGATTGCTAATAAAAAATTATAAATGTAACCTTTCTTTGCTTGATATTGTTAACTGCTGTTGAGTCACCCCAACTCATGGCGACCCCACACACAATAGGTCTGGACTCTTGTGATCCATGAGTTTTTCACTGGCTAATTTTTTGGCAATAGATTGCCAAACCCTTCTTCCTAGTCTGTCTGAATCTGATAGCATTCAGTTGTGTCTGTGCACCTCTTAGTCTTCATTAATCTATTAGGACAAATCTTTTTCACATTCTATAAAATACTGTTAACATTGTTAGTATGGGCCCAAAGAATAATAAATATTAATAAATTAATTCCTTTGAAGAATATGTGACTTTGATATTCCTAAATGTAACCAATAGAAAAACATGAGGAATTTGGAATTAATCTGATATATCTGTTTACACATACAGATGTCTGTCATTTGTGAAATAGATTTCTCAGAAAGTTCCAGGAAGAACAAATGTTTCTAGATGGAATACAATGGAACTTGCCCTTTTAAGAATTCTATAATAAACTCTTTCATAAAGGAAATAATTGTTTTTCCTTTCTCTCGCTCGCTCTCGTTAATACGTTTTTACTCCTGGAGTTTTTTAGAGTGGAACACAAAGGTTGTTCCATAAAATATTAAGTCAATAGAACTTAATTTCATTTTTAAAAAAATCACCATGTTGTTGAATTCTAGGTTCCTCTGTTTCTTACTATCATGGGATCTACGGTAAGTCATTCACCTGTTTTCCTCAGTCAGCTCATCTATAAAATGGGGAAATTAATACTGCCTACTTCATAAGTGTGTGGGCGAGGCGTAAATGAGATAATTGATGTAAAACACTTAGCCCAGTGTCTGGCAATCATACCTTTGCAAAGGGTCTTACGCAGCTCTCAGTGCTATTCAGTGGTAGAGCACTAAATGGAAAAGTGCAAATGTGGATTCTGGGCCTAGGTGAGCAGTGATTATGGGATGAGCTTGGACCAGTGCATATTCTCAGTGGGCCTTGGTAAAGTGAAGCAACTGGACTAGATTTTTTCTGGTGCCTTCCAGCTCCCTGGCCCCGCTGGCTGGCTGTCTCCTCAGACTTGGGGGTGCATTTACTACTGTGCTTGCCCTTGAAGCTCAAGTGCTGGTGATAGCTCTACCCTTCTGGGAAACCTGCTCCCCACTTGAGGGTGGGCGGCCAGTGAGGTTGGTTCCCCTGGGTCAGAACTGAAGCACTATCTGGGGCTGTAGCATGTATGTATGTGGTCCTGAAGTCACGATAGGGAGAGGGGTAGAGGACAGGCCACAGGAGGATTACCTCTGATGGGTCTTTATTTTCATCATTTAACTTTTTTTTCCTCCATTTGTTTTCCCTTTGAAACAGACATCACAGAGTAGAATCTGGTATTTCCATGGTGGCTTGGGATAACATCTTTGTTTTACAATCCCCCGAGGCTAGAAGAAAGCTGAGGCCACAGGTCACTGGTGGGCCCTAAAGTCAGGGAAAATCATAGGAAAAATTGGGCGTTTTATATGGTAATAATTGAGCACTGACAACTCTGGAGGGAGTTTTGTAATTCTTTCAACATGAAATTGGATTTTGACTACATAGCGGATTCATAGTAACCTAGGATTTTTTTCATTATGGCTTGACCCAGAGGAATAGCTATTGATGGCCTTTCCTAAAAGGAGTGGGTAGACTATTCCCAGGACTCTCTTCTTAAATAAGTGTATCATGCAAATACAGCTGCTCCGCTAGGGAATTCCATCCAGCCCTTGCCCTGAACTAGCGGTAGCTGGTGGGACTG